GCGGTGCGGAAGCTCCTCCAGGAGGATCCGTCGCTGGGGAAGGCCGGAGATTACGACAACCGCACGCCGCTCCTCCACGGCTGGATCGACATCGCCAAATGCTTGATTGAATTCGGCACTGACGTAAACGCACAGGATCGTTGGAAAAACACTGCGATCCACTGATTCTCATTCTGTTATCTCTTTCTCTCCGTGTGTGCTTGATTGTGAAGTAAGATTTAGGTTCAGGTTTAGGTTTAGGTTTATGGTTTATATATTTATTTTTCAATAGTATTTTTATTTAATTTAATTCTAGTATAATGATTATTAAGTTCAATTTTAATTGGGAGTGGATCCTCTCACGTGGAAAAAAGGTGAAGTGATCATGTTATTTGATCACAACCATTCATTTAAAAATTATACATTTTTCTCTCTCTTATCTCATCATCAATGAGTGGTTGTGATCAAATAAAATCTAATGTAATTTTCTTAACGAGTTTGAGTTTGATTTGCGAAAATAATAATCATATATCAACGATTTAATTCCAAATTAAATATTAATTAATGAGTTTGATTTGTAAAAATAATAACCGTTGATTAACGAAAATCAACGATTAAAATATAATTGTAAACAAAAATAGGTTGTAAGTATAATATTCCCCATAAAAAAATAACAAAGAAATGCAATGAAATTAATGAAAAAAAAGTAAAACCTAATATAATTTTCTCAATTAGTAAAACATAATATAATTTTTAACAAACATTCAAAATTACTAAACAACAGCTTTTCACATACCTAATGGATTGAAAATTATCTTCTTCATTTGGTATCAGAGTTATGCATATGTGATTATAAGATTCAATTTTTTTTAATTATAAAAATAATTTTAAATTTGCATATAGAACCTAAAGTTCATGATAAAATTTCGTTTGAAATTTTTTGCAATTGATCTTGAAAATCTTGGGGTTTTTGTTTTACGTGATGAAAGTTTTCTAACCATATATCATATGTATATGTTCATTGAATATTCTAAGAAAATTTTGAATCTGAAATTTTGGGTTTAATTTCATGAAAGTTTAGAAAATTTCTCAATTTTTTTTCAGTCAATACATTGAAACCTTAAATTGCTTTGGGGCTTTTGAGAAATAAGTTTTTAGTTATCTATTGATACAAAAATTGTTTGAAATCGTTTCCTATAGTGAAGGAATTTCGTTCATGAATGTATTGTTACGAAATATATGGTTCATATTATGAAAGTTTTAATCTTTCTTTAAATTGATATTGCTTCATGTATGTAAAACGAAAATTGGTCTGAGAGTTTTAGTTTTCCTGTTATTTTTTCACTGTTTTATGTTGTTTTTAATACAAAAATCTCATATTTTTGTGCCAAGAAAAACCGCGACCCATAGCTTGAAAAATCACTTTTAAACTTCCAAAATTTCTCAAAAATAACTCAAAAATATGTTATTTTTGAGATAGATTATATTAAAATCTCGTTGGTTTGTTGTTTCTCGGTTGTTTTGTGATAAAATTCGCTCAAAAATATGCTTTTTTTTAGTTTTGGCGAAACTCCCATGGCGGAAACCAATTTCGAGCAGTCAACCTGCCAGAAGGAAGAAGAATACGCAGAAGAATCTCAAGCAATCCTAGGAGTTGGGGTGAGATTGCGAGAGAGATATCCTATTTATAATTTTCACTAAAAAGTCTCACGAAATCCACACCAACAGAAAATTCATTAAAATCGTCGGAATTTTGAATGCCACGAGATCGTGATTCCATTGTTTAAAATTCTGATTGAATACCAACGAATTTTACAATAATCCTTAAAAATCCTAATTGAATACCACGTGACTTTTTTTCAATCTATTAAAATCCTAATCGAATACCAACGGATTTTAAAATAATCCTTTAAAATCCTAATCGAATACCACGTGACTTTTTTTCAATCCATTAAAATCCTAATCAAATACCAACGAATATTTTTGTCCAAAAACAATCCATTAAAATCTTTTGAAATCCCAAGCCAATACACCCCCTTAGTTTGTAACTTAGCTTTGTCCAAAAGTCAAAGATGGACTTCCTATTATGACTAATGGAAAATTATTACAGTGTTTACACTATCTGATGGCCTCCCGAAGTTTCTAATGTTTTCCCTTGGTCAACCCGTCCAATTAATATGAATTAACTGGAATAATTTCAATCAAACCCTAAAATCTAACGGGTCTAAATCAAGAGTTCTTTTTTAACCATTGATAACTTTTTTTATACCTTCAGATAATTTTATCTTACCAATAAAAAAGTTATATCTATAGGACTATCCTCTATTTGATCCACTCTTCTTACTAGGTGATTTTTTTTTTTTGGGTTCTGCAGTTAATGCAAATAAGTTATCTGCATTTATTCCCAAAAAGATATCATTTTGGTATTGAAATCTTAAAAAATTATAAATATAAAGACTATTATAATCCTGAAATAAATTAAAATTACAAAAATATCATGATTTCCGCCCCAAAACGACGTCGTATTGACTTACTGCAGATAAATTATCTGCACAGAAAAACGAACCATTTATTATTAGTCTTCTTCTCACATGATTAAATCATCTTATCCAGATTCTACCATATTTTCCTCAATAGGTATTATTTTTATCTTCTCTATAATGCATATTCTATCTTGTCTTGCATGTTCACTTATCTGGTGTAACATTCTCATGCTCTTTCTAACTCTTCAGTGCCCAACATTAAATATCAGAAAGCATTGAAAGTCTTGACCCTCCCGATGTTTGATAAATAATAAAATTTATAATGGAAAAAAAAAAATCTAGGTAAGTGAAAAGAAAGAGTGAAACTTTCCCACTAAGATTCACCACCAATGTTATTGTCTGTCCATAAACCTTTATGGCTTTATCGAAAATTTGGGAATAATTCTATAAGGGGGATAGAGAGGGGAGAAAATGCATATCATATACCCAATCAAATAATCTCAATTCTTAACATCACCCCTCCACATTAAATCACAACCCTTACAAAGCAACAAACTTCTCCTCACACATAAACTACTTAAGAAAGCCAAAATAAAACAATCAATAAAATAAAATTATTAATAAACCAAAAAAAGAAAGAAAGAATTATTACCATCTGTCACACATAAACTTCTCCTCACACATAGTTATTAGTTGCTAATGGACAACATGTCACTGTTAATTCTGAATCCATAAATTCAAAAAGATATAGATTTGAACACCCAAGATTTCATTTCAGGTGTAAAGTTGATCATATTATCGATTTGGATTAAGACAACCCATTTAATATTACTAAATTAAATAAGAATTTATCGTCATTGCTAGTTCAAATCACACAACTGCAGTGAAGGTTTCACTGTGCAGTATTCACAATTGAACTTTTCTAATAGCCCGATAATGCTGATGGGGGACGGTTGGGGGGGCGGAGTGTGACTTGTGAGTGCGAGACATCTAATCTTACAGCCCAGTTTTGGCGTTTGTTTTCATAGGGGTTGATCATAGGAGAAGGTAGACATGTGAAAATCACCTAATTCCACCAAGTTAAAACATTCAGGCTGATTTGAATACATGGATTAAATCAGATAAAGTTAAGTGAAATTTGATCATACTAGATTTAAGATAAATTAATTTAAAACTAGTTCAATTCACCTTAAACAATCAAATCCCTTACACACAGAATTTGAGTAGTGAAATGATATATATTTATCTATCCCCAAACATAATTTTAATTAATGAAAACAGTATCGATGTTGGAAAAATGGTATTTATAAATAACAGCTTGCATTAACTGTATGTGGATTTTCTTGTTAATTGAGGCTCTAGAGGTACGTATCATGTGCTGTTGAATATGTTTCAATTTTCAAATGTTATAACGTGCAAAGGTGATTCTTATATTAAATTGTGTGCAAGCTTAGCTTGCTATGTGTTCTGTGCAGAATGGATGATATTTTATTCGAGCCAGCAAAGCTTTCAAGTAGTATGAATATTTGTTGCAACTAGTAATCGTTGCAAGTGGTCACCGCTAGAGCCGGCAAAATGGACTTGGCTCGGCGGGCCAACCTGCCCCACCAGTTAAATGGGACAGAGTGGACTAAGTTTTTCAATCCAGCTCAAAAGCGGGACAAGACGGGGCTGGTTTATTTTTTGACGGGCTAATAGTGGGCATAGGCGGGTCAGAGTAAAATAAGTTCGGGCTAGCGGGCCAACCCACCAAACGGGACGGGGCGGACTGACTCATTTTTGACGGGTTGATGACGGGACGGGGCGGCCACTTTGCCACCTCTAGTCACCACTTCCTGCCCATCAGAGCACGAAGAGGGGACAAACCCGACAACTACTGAACACCCTGAAGATCTCCATTACCCGTTTGGCATCAGGACTGAGGTACAATCCTGTCCACCCTCTGAAATAGAACAATAAGCATAGTCCAGCTAGATCCACCTCTATCAATTCAACTCTAAAAAGAAATTGCTATGCAATTTATCATAAAAAAAAAAATAAGTATCTTTGGCAAGGTCAAGCAACATACATCATGAAAAACTCTATAAATAATGGTAATAAACATATCAGCCGAAGCTTTAAAGAACACAAGATAAACTTGTGATATTTGGAGTAGTACTTGATATTTGTTGAAGAAAACTAAGATATTGTGAGTCATCTATTGGGCTGACCCCAAACCCTCTTAACAGCAATGGCACATACTGTGATGTCAGTGTTCGTGATGCCGTTGTAACCTTGATTTTAAACCTTGGCTGATGTTTGGCTAGGCTGTTCAGGTAGCGGGAACATCTTTGGTCGTACACTAGATACACATGATCTGATATAATTCCATGATGTGGTCTGTCCAGGTACACGTTGGTAGTGTTACCTTCACCTTCACTACCACTGATCTTAAATTTCAAAAACAAACCCTCTGATTGAACCTGCGGAACTATGAAGCAAAAAATGAAGCCCAACTCAGGGGAATGAAGAGCAAAAGAGAGATCAATAGTTAGGGAGTCTTGTGTTGTCCTATACACCAGCCACTCTGGAACTTTGCTTCCCGGATACACATAAGTGCCTTGAGCATCATAACTGCGACCAACTGTGGATAAATGTTGGCGTTCAAATTTCATCATGTTGATCTGCGCAAAATGGAGCCCAACAGAAGGGAATGCGGAGGTAAAAGGAAGTTAACAGGTAGGATGTCACGTGTTGTCTTCCCATTAACAGGTAGGAAGTCACGTGTTGTCTTCCCATTAACAGGTAGGAAGTCACTTGTTGTCTTTCGATAGAACAACCACTCTTGAATTATGCTTTCCTGATCCACATAAGTGATTTGAGCATCATAACTGCGACCAAATATGGATAAATGTTGGAATGCAAATTTCATCATGTTAACTTGCGCATTCAGCTCAATAGCCCTGAGAGAATGTTCATCCAATTTCAAGCAATTCCAAAAGGCAACCCTTTTCTTGTTTTCATTCAGTTGTTCACTAGCGGTTGAAGGGAACAACACAGTCTCCAGTGATATGCAGCCACTGGCATCTAGCATTTCAAGCGATGGGGGAAGCTCTGGTATAGTCTGAAGCTCCCTACAGTGGTGTATAGCTAGATGTCGAAGCTTTGTAAGATGCTTGATGCTTGCAGGCAAGTTCCCAATGTAAGTGCGTGCTAGATTTAGCTTTTCAAGTTTGCTTTGAAGTGCAATAGAGGAGGGTAGTTGTTTGATGCCCGTGCCATAGAGGGAGAGATAGCGAAGGGAGCTCAGATGGATATTGCTTCCAAGGCTTGTAAGGGAAATGCATCCACCTAGGTCCAATTTCTCAAGCTTGTTGATTGACAAAACAGATGGATGCACACTAGTCAGCTCTACACAAAAACGGAGATCTATGACTTTAAGATTTGTGGCCTTTGAAAAGTCTGGCAGTTCCACCAGGCTTGTGGATGAATGCAGTACAAGGGTGTTTAAATTCTCAAGATCCTGTAACAAATTAAACAAAAGCATGAGCTAATGAAAGTTGTTTATTTGTATTCCTTAGAAAGCAAATGCACACATGTATCATTTACCTGCACTTGGTGCCAAAGTTTTTTCACTCGGCTGTAGGGCAAGTTCAATTCAACAAGATTTTCCGCAGAAAACATGGATGGCAAGGATTCCAAAGGGTAGCAAGCCCAGCGAAGATATCTTAGTTCATTTGGCAAAGAGTCAAGCCCATGAGGAAGATACAACACTTTATAAGGCCAATCACAATACAAATCAAGAAATTGTAGTTTGCTCATCTTAGCAAATACTTGAGGGCTTAACTGCAGCTCCTTAATCATCGACGAGTTGAGGACTATGCTTCTAATGGCCTCACTCCCCTGCCACCAAAGTAGTAGAAAACTTTCAAATACAGTTATAACCCACTTTTCCTACAAAAAAGTTCAAAATAAGATACATTTTTGTAACTAAGGGCTTTTACCTTGTTATTTTTCAGTACTTGATAAATGTCATCAGTATCCAACAGTCGACTCCGGTTACCAGGGTCTTCAATAGATTCTTGGCGAACCATCTCCCAAGCGGTTTCTTGTATAATGTCATGCATGGATACAATATTCTCTTCAGAAATAGTTATAAGAGCTTTATCTTGTAACCTTTCTAACCCAGCAGCAACAGAATAATCATGATCCTTTGATAAAAGTTTTATTTTATCAACATTCATATTCAATCCATCGAAAAAACATGCAATATCCAAAAATATCTTCTTCTCATCATGATGAAGATCATCATCAATACTAATTTTAATAAAATCATGAACCTTTTTATTTGGCACTTTTTTGAGCCTTTTTGATTGGCTTTCCCATATTTCTATTTTTTTTCCTCGAAGAAGATGACCCCAAACTTTAAGAACTAATGGAATGCCTTCGGCATACTTGACCATCGTCTTAGATAGTTCGTAGTATTCTATATCAATATGATTATGTTCAAAGGCATTCAAATTGAAAAGCCGGAGAGACTCATCAAAGTCCAGTGCCTCAACCTCGTATATACCATGAACCCCTTTAGCAAGGACTTGCTTATCTCTAGTAGTTATGATGATTCTACTACCATTTTTAAACCTGTCATGTGTCCCAACTAAAATTTCTAGTTGCTCCGAATAGTTGATATCATCAAGAACAATCAGAACCTTCATACGACGAAGCCTTTTCTCAACATAAGGAGGCAATACATTTGGGGTTTCAATTTTCAAATCTTGTTCCCCTAGTAGTGTGGAAAAAAGCTTTATCTTTAAAGAGATTATTCCCTGTCTTCCCAACTCCTCTCTTACATTAGCCAGAAAACAATACCCTTCGTAATCAGCATGCAATCTGTAATATACTTCTTCTGCAATTGTTGTCTTACCAACACCACCCATGCCCCAAATTCCAATAATACGAACATCTTCTGAATCTAACCGTAACAATGATTCTACATGTGAAATTGGTTTGGCAATTCCAACAAGTCCTTTTGAGTTAACTTTGTCCACATGTTTCAATCTCTTCTGTACCCATTTAACTATTTCTTCAGCAAGCTCAGCTTCATTCCTATAAAAGAAACAAGAAAATGTAAAAAATTTAAATGACATTATTATTATTATTTTAAACAGGCCTTACTTTGGATGTAAAACTAGAGAAAATTCTTTAAGGAACAAGCTTGATAATATGCATAAAACCACTTCCTATCAAACCCTACTAGCAAGAGGAAGGATGAAGGAAATCCTTGTACACAGCCATATTCTTATATGCAAAATTGAAATAAATACATAGGGGCAACATACTAGAACATTTATTCAAAAAAATTACTTACCGAAAATTTGAAGAATGAAATCCTGCTAAATTAGCAGTTTCTTTCAAAGCAGATCTCCAGGTTTGCACCTTTAAACTATAATTTTTTTCATGTTCAGCAAATGCATTTTCATAAGCCCCCTTTTGATGCCGTACATGGGAGGGATCGACTTTGTAGAAAACAGGTAGCACAATCTGTCCATCTTTTTCCCTGCACTCAACTATTTTCACTAGCTCTAGCAAACACCAAGATGAAGAAGCATAGTTTTGTGAGAATATGACCAATGAAATCAATGATCTTTCAATTGCTTCAAGAAGAGCTTTCGATATTTCACACCCTACGGGAAGCTTGTCATCTACAAAGGTAAAAATCTGCTTTTGATGTAAATTCTTGTTCAAATGACTGAGGAAACCTTCACGCGTGTCGTCCCCTCTAAAGCTGAGAAAGACATCATACTTTATCTGAGGAGCAGAGCTAGAAAATGACACCACTAGATCCTTAGAATCGTTGTCCACTGTTGTTTTATTTGCCAGTACTACACCCTTCCATTTCAAAAGAAGCAAGAGACAAGCAAATACAACATATTTTATTTGATAAGCTCTGGCAGAAGAATATTCCATTGGATTCACGCGTGCACTCTAATTCTTTCTTTTCTCTACACCCCCAATATCAAATTAAGCAAGCCACAATATATCTGGCAAAGATAAATAAAGAGAGAAAAGAAATGAAAGGATCAAACAGCTTAAAGAACAAGACTTTGTATCTGCAACATTTTCAATTAACATCTGACATTACTGGGTCCTTTTGGATTTGCAAGATTGTTGCTTTGGCTCATAATATATGCTAAGCAATCTTATTTACTTCATCTAAACCATTTCATAATTCTTTTCTTAGTTTCCACCTTAGCTTTATCCAAAAATGAATGACTGATATAAAGCCACAAAACAAGCGAGAGAAAAAATTTACCTTATCACTGTCCTCAAATGATTTTTAGTTTGATGCTTCGACCGGATAGTGGATAGAGATCAGATTCAGCACTTGCTCGTATGTGTTGGAACAAATAAATCGCATTGTGGAAAATTATAAGAGTCGTTTACATTATGATTTTCCACAATTTCAAAGTAAACTCTAAAGTCTACCTCTTATTAGTTGTTTATGCATAAAACCTGAAATAATTTAAAGTGAACTCTAAAGTCCACCTCTCATTAGTTGTTTATGTATAAAACCTTTCATTGGATAGTGGATAGATATCATATTCAACTCTTCCTCTTATGACCAATGGAAAATTGTCTGATGGCCTTCCGAAGTTTCTTATGTTTTCCCATGGTCAACCCATCCAATGGAAATGAATCAACTGGAATAATTTCAATCAAACCCTAAAATCTGACCGGTGTAAATCAAGAGTACCTTTCTACTTTTGATAACTTTTTTATACCTTTAGATAATTTTATCTTACCAATAAAAAAGCTATTTCTATAGGACTATCCTCTAATTGATCCACTCTTCTTACTAGGTGTTGTATTTTTTATTTTTTGGGTAAAATTCTTATGAGGGCTTTTATTAGTCTTCTTCTCACATGATCAAATCACCTTAGACAGATTCTACTATCTTTTCCTCAATATGTATTATTTTTACCTTCTCTATAATGACTATTTTATCTTGTCTTGCAGGTTCACTCATCTGGGGTAACATACTCACGTTCTTGCTAACTCTTTAGTGCCCAGCATTAAATATCAGAAGGCGTAGCAAGTCTTGAACCCCAAGCTGTTTCATAAATAATAAATTTTTTAATGAAAATAAAAAGCTAAGGATGTAAACAGAAAGAGTGAAACTTTACCTCTTAGATTCACCACCAATGTTATTGTCCTTTATGGCTTTATCGAAAATTTGGGAATAATTCTATAAGGGGGGTGGGTAAGGGGGCAGAAGCCCCTTTAAAGTACAAAGATACCTGCTGCCAAGCCGCCAGAAGATCCTTCACGGATAGAAGTAGTCCATCAGCAATAGAGAGAGATCCCTTCTTTGTAAATCTCAAATGTTATCTTACTTGAGCAATACAAACTAGTTTATTCTCATATTCATTCACCCAAAGAACAAAAAACGCTTCTTGTGCTCATAGTAATCGTCAATCATATCATGACACGGCTCTATAAGTGTCTCCACATGTTGCTTTTTTCTTTTCATGGCTTTTTTGCCATAAGAAGAAATGTATCTTTTCCCTGGGATTATGATAACTGGAGCAGTGGTAATTGCTTTCACATTTTTCAGTCTCACCATGCTAGGATGGTGCACTTATACCCATCACATACCATCCCTTCCTACAACAGTCGTATCTTTTGATGACAGGTTATCTCCTTGCATGAATTTAGAGTCACATTCAATTACATTTCAGTATAAGGCTGCAGAAGGCACAGTAAGCCAGACAGAATGTGTTATCTGCTTGACAGGCTTCGAAGAAAAGGAAAGTGTTCGGAAGCTTCACAAGTGCACGCACATCTTCCATACATCTTGCATTGATAAGTGGCTTGGCTCTCATTCTGGCTGCCCATTGTGCCGCACTCAGGTTGACAAAGTGGCTTCCCCAAATGATTAGATGATCATGGTCATTGTTAGCTCCTAAATTTGAAAACATCCTGGATCATTACATCCCCATTCTTGATATAGCTACCTTCCAAAACTAAATTTTTGCTCCTTTTCCATACATATATGTTCTGTGAATGATGAGATTCAAAACTTCATGTAACGAGTTCATTTATGTTCAGGAATTTATTTCTTCTAGGATCATTTTGTTATCCCATTAAAATTGGTGGTAAAGTGGTAAACAATTCATGGATTAGTTTTGAATAAAAATATTTATCCAAAATTAAACCCCGAAGTATTCAGTATCTTGTGTATACATATGAATAGTTCTATTAACATTACTCTTCAAATATATAAGATAGCTTCCATCCTGATAATAAAAATGAGACTAAATCACAGACTAATTTTATATACAATCATTATTTTCACGCTTCTTTGAAATACCTTCCCTAAACCCTCATACACATTACATTTTTCTTAGGTTATCTAACCTAGCCTGTAGATCATCATCAATTCCACCGTCTTCATTGTTTGTTGATTCAGCTTGAGCAACCCTGTTTTTTGCCGCTGGTGCAGCAACTGAGGCTGATGCAGGTGCATTTAAAAGCTGCATTGAACAAATGATATATGTATCATCATTATCAATAATATTGTTACACCTTCCCCTCCAGCTAGGGGATTAATCTTTCAGTTCATCTATAATGCTCTTTTCAGATAACAAGAATGACAACAACTTACCTCCGAGTTTATATCGATTCCGATCTCATCAAGAACCTGATTCACAAGCTCTTCTGTCTCTTCCTCCTCTTCATCACCTTCCAAGGCATCATCAATTGCATCTCCCATCACTTCAGACACCAGTTCCATCTTCTCATTCTGCCTTTCAAACTCTTGCATTATCCTCTGTAAGGAAGGCAAATTCATCTGCCTATTCATTTGACCCATGGCTTTCGTAACTCCTTTCATAGCCTCCCCCATTGCTTGAGTGGATTTTAGTGTCTGAAATTGATCTTGCAGAGTCATTCTTAAAGGGTATATTCAATGCAATTAGTTTTGCGGACTCTAAAATCTAAAATTAATTTTCAAAGGATGAGATTGTTGGTGATTAATGCGATCACGGGATTCCTTTGTTTTAGTATTTGATTACTGGTATTTGTGGTGGTGTGGTTTGGTGTCAGTGAGAGAATTTTAAAAGTAGATGAAGCCAAGACTGTTTTGGGTTGTGAGTCGGTCATGATTTAAGGTTGAAGGCATGACCAAATGAGTTGGAGGGAGGGGAAGAGGTTGCGTGACATGGAGAGTCATGACCTCAGCTTATAGTTGTTGTGTCACTCGTGCATAGACCAGAGAGCTGCTTGAACAGCAAACAACACAAGTAGTCTTGGTCAGAGAAATTATGGTGCAGTCTAGGGAAATGTTAACTGGATTAGGGTAGATTAACTGGGCTGTGATCTATCTGAATCCAAAGTTGCAAATGAACCATCTATAAAGTCTTATTATCTCCGGGTTTAAATCTGTAGCACTCGAGAAAATTGGGACAGAAGAAATGATACACAGCCAGTAAGGAGCTGGTCTTGCAGTTAACCCAGTGAATATAGATGGAAACCTTACATATTCCAAAATCCCTTTATATAGGATAAAGACCCTAATTTAAAAGAAACCCTAGCATTCTAAGGAAGGTTGAATTAAATTAAAATGAAAGACATAAAACAGTGTTGCTACAGAATGCATATTACTGTGGTATGAACGGTGACCCCCTATATCTTTTTTTTTAATTCTCTCCCTCAAATGCTTATGCATCAACAAAATCATCAAAAGACTACATTAATCAATCATTCAGAATAACAACCTCAGGCTTTAACCATTAAAATCATACACAGTAAGTGCAACATAACCAGTGACCCTTCGTTCGTTACTATTTTCCATTAAACTAGTCTGTAAAAGGAGTAACACAATGCCAAACACATAATATTTAACTTATCTGTTACTTTCCGAGGAGCTCATTATGCATGAAGAAACCTTCAAACTTCAAGTACAGTGACTTGCAAACAAAATGAGAAAAACAAACCTGAATTCTCAAAGAAACACCCTGAAGTTGCGATTTAAGCTTGTAAAACTTCTCAATCTGATGGCGAGTTCTGATAAGATCCTTGGCCATCACTCTCACTGCCCCCTGACAAATTTAAGCCAAACCCACAAACTATTTGAACCAGACCAAAACATGTGAAAATGCATATCATATACCCAATCAAATAATCTCAATTCTTAACACCAACCCTCCACAATAAATCACAATCCTCAGAAAGCAACATACTTCTCCTCACACATAAACTACTTAAGAAATCCAAAACAAATCAATCAATAAAATAAAATTATTAATAAACCAAAAAAAGAAAGAAAGAAATAATACCATCTGTCCTTGTTTGGCGTTCTTCTTAATCTCAAGAATCAACTTCTTCTCTTGAGTCTGCAAGCCTTGTCTTTCCCTTTCTATTTCTCTAATGGACTTGTCTAGCATCCTTTTATTTTCCCTCAGAAGCTCTGTCATCATCACAAGTAACAAAACTACCCATTAACAAACAAACCCAATTCCTAATCAAAGACACAATTTTTCGAAACTGAGAAGCCAAAAAAAAAAGCAACCCATCATTTTTTTTTTCTCTAAACAAATTGCTCGATTCAATCAACACAATCACAACGAAAACGTACCCATTTGATAATAAAATAAAAATTGGCAAAAAAAGAAAGAACAAGAACCTGCGGGAGTCTTTCTACTGCCGAACAGAAAACTCATATTCGCTCAATGTTGAAACTATGAGATCTCTTCTTCAGTGTCGTGTTGCCTCAACAGGACTTTGCTCAACACCTGATATGCTATTCTATCTACGCTGTGTATATATCGATACCAAATATATATATAAATTTTGAATTTATTGTTTTTTTTTTTTTTTTTGGGACATAAATTTAACTGATTTAATATCTCTGATGTACATATTATAAGAGGTAATTTCATATCTTATATACATAAAAGTATACGAGGTACATATATATATTTTTTATTTTGCTCTTCTTTTTATATATTTCTATATAAATTTCATATACTTTTATATGTGTAATAGATAATTTTATCTTCTATAACACGAGACATAAAGTTATATTTTTTAAATGATAAATATTTTTTCTTTTTAAAAATAAGATATATTTTTCCCCCTCTTTTTTACAATAAAGCATCAAAAAATGTAAAAAAAAATTATTTATTTATTTATTATGTTAATTTTATGTTAGTGTCCGCCCTGAATTTTTTTTTATAGTTTTTCTCTAATCTTTAGAATAAATAAATACGAAAGAGTTTAGTTTAAGATTTAAACAAATTTGTTTCTTAATTTTAATACTTATATCAATCTTGCACTTTGATTTTATAAAAGTGTGACTACAGATATTAAATAAGAAAGGTGATAGCCTTTTCTGTATATTAACATAATCATGTTTTTATCCCAAAGATGCATAATAAGTTTTTTTTAAGTAAAAATAAAAGAAAGAGAGTATATAAATTGGACCCAATAAATGCTACCCAAATGACTTTAAATTGGCTACTATCCAATTCCTTTTTCATGGCCCAATCCATTCATCTGTACAAACTTTTATAATCTGGGTCATACTCTCTTCTCAAGCCTCGCCAATTGTTCACCAAAAAAGTAAGCCCAAGAAGACCCTACCTGACCCTTATCCAAGGATATGAATCTCACCAAGCCCAAGGATATTCTTGTTACCCATAGGCCCTCACCAAGCCCGAGGATATACTCACCTTCTCTCCACATATTTCAATATTCCTCCAATATCCTGTAATCCACTAAGATAACATGCATGTCTATGAGGATTTTTATGGAATTCTAGGGAATGTTGTTTCAACTTTGGTTTGCTTTGTAATTGAGCTTGCTTTTTTTTTTTGTTCTCTTACTAATGTCACTGAACTCAAGAAATTTTTAGTTGCAAATGAGACATTTTGGTTTGTCTAGATGCCAATTTTTTCGTTAAAATATATAGCAGGTTGTAATTCTATTAAAGAAGGGACATGGTTTCAAAAAATAAACAACCCGTTGATGATAATATGTTTATTTTGAAGCTATCCTTTTTTGGTTTTGATAATATTTCAAAATCAATAACCAAACTGGCCCATTTAAGGAAGATACATGCAAAAGCATAGCAAGAAAAGGAGCCCATTTGGGTTATGATTTCAAGTCATTGACAAATCGAAATGGTGAAGTTTATTTTATTTTATTTTTAAAGATAATTTTGGTGAAGTTGACATCTATGTTGCACCGACACGGGACATGAAATACGACACGACACGATACTCCAACATGTTAATTCTAAAAAATATTAAATTTTGACACGTTTTGATATTATATACTATTTTTAATTTATGTAGTATACATTATATTTAATATTCAATAATTTAACAAAAAAATAAAGCTAAACTTATAATACCCATCAATTTTGCAAAGAAACATAAGATATCTCAAATATCTATATTAAACTCAATAAAATAATAATCATAATCCAACGAATCTAATAGTTCGAATTCAAAATAAAATGCAACATAATTTTTGAACTTTTTTTGAATCTTTACAACGAGTATTGGAGTGTTAAAAAATATAAGAGTGTCGATGAGTATCGAAAAGTGTAGGACACGACACGTTAAGAATTTTAAAATGTCGGTATTTCATAGGTTGACATAGCATTCAAACACCGACCATATTTATGAGAAATAGAGAACCATGAAATGAGCTAAAACCTAAAACATTTAGAAATACGATCTTTCAAAAATCCACGCAACACAGACCCTTTGAGTCTTTGACCGAATATTTGCTGACAAGAAAAGCAAACCCCTAGTTAGCTACTAAAAGCTCTTTAAGCATGAAAGTGAAACCATTAATGAAGAAAATGCTAACCATATATTCCAAGGTTCATGTACATTTTTATTGCTGTCAATATAAGTCCATTTCGATTGTTATCTCAAATTCTCAATTAGGCATGTTACGTGGAGATGAATTTAACGAATAAATGGGAACGCACACACCTCGGTTGCTTTCATTTTTCAAGCACCATTTAAAATTCAACAAATATGTGTTCACACATCATAGTTATTATTTAGTTGCTAAAGGACAACTTGTCACTGTTAATTCCGAATCCATAAATTCAAAAAGATATAAATTCGAACACCCAAAATTTCGTTTCAGGTGTAAAGTTGATCATATTATCGATTTGGATTAAGACAACCCATTTAATATTACTAAAGAAAATAAGAATTTATCGCCATTGCTAGTTCAAATCACACAATTGCAATGAAGCTTTCACTGTGCACTATTCACAATTGAACTTTTCTACTAGCCTGACAATGCTGATGGGACGGTTGGGGGGCGCGGATCGAGTGTGACTTGTGAGTGTGAGACATCTAATCTTATAGCCTAGTTTTGGCGTTTGTTTTCATAGGGGTTGATCATAGGAGAAGGTAGACGTGTGAAAATCACCTAATTCCACCAAGTTAAAACATTCATGCTATTAGAAAAAGTGAAGTGAAATTTGATTAAATCAGATAAAGTGAATACATTGATTAATTCAGATAAAGTGAAGTGAAATTTGATCATAGATATAGGATAAATTAAATTAAAAACTTATTCATTTCAACTTAAACATGAATCCAGTTAGGAGAGATTATTATTCACATGTCAAATGAGTTTTAGTTCAGTTGCGGAGCCACGTGATACTTAGCTGTGGTCTTGGTTCGGGCTAAATTTTAATAAATTGTATTTATTATATATAAATATATAATTAATTATAATTCAGCGCAGTCTAAAATTATAATTTGGCCCGGGCTAAAATTTGTCATTTGACCCTATAAAAAAATTAAAATATATTTGGTGAGAGATTTGGGTAAGTTGTATTAAGTTGTGTGTTCTATTTCCATTTATATAAAAAAAATGAGTAAATATCTTTTTTTGTCCCTAACAAAATATTCAGTCTCCACTTTAATCTCTTACAAAAAAATTAGTCGCTTGATCCCTATGAAATTCAAAGTGAATCCATTTTAGTCCTTTTGAGAGATTAATGTGAGTCTTTTTTGAATTTGTGTGGGACCACAATTTCAACTAAATGGGTCCACTTTGAATTTCTTAGGGACCTCGAGAGTAATTTTTTTTGTAAAGGACTAAAGTGGGTATCGTATTTTTTGTTAGGGACTTAAAAGGGTATTTACTCTAAAAAAATTAAAATATATTCAATAAAATTAAAAAATATTTAATGAAATTATAATTCCTTTTGATGCTTCCTCCTCAGGTGTTTTGTATTTAATATAATTTAAATAAAAGAAAAGTATTTGTCATTTTAAAAGACATAAAGTTATATCATTTTAAGAGAGAGATGGACACAAGAAAATATTTTTTTATTTAAAGTTTAAATTAAAAAAAAAATCACATATTTTCTCTCTCATGATTTTCATTTCTTGTGTCTATCTCTCCCTCAAATTGACATAACTTATGTCATTTAAAATGACAAACACCAAATCCTTTAAATAAATTATGATATGAACTAACTAAAATTAAAAAAAAATACACATATAATTTTTTAGCCCGGGCTCCGTATAGAGGCTGGCTCCGCCACTGTTTCACTTACAAATTCAGAATAAGGAGATTTAATACCACATTTTAATCCAAAATTTGAAAGCTGTGAGTTCTTTCACTTATATGTGTTATACTTAACTTATTCTTTTTTAATATGGAACTTTTATCACTCATACTTAAATCCGTATTTTTCTCCAAGCTAAATTTTAATTAATAAAAGTATATTGTTCATGTTTTTCTGTTCATTTTTGTCACATTCAATAATCCCACCAAAAACGAATATATCTATAATGCTTTTGAGATTTGAACATTAAACACAAATCGTTGAAAAACCATGCTTGTGTTAGGACACGCCCACCATTCATCTCATGATTTCCATTTGAAACAATTCCATTTTGCTATTAAGACCATCTCATAGAGTCAACCTTCATGAACAAGCAACATGTATATTCCAAGACATTTCAAACCGAAAGATAATTGTAGCTTGTAGGTAGCCTAGCTAGCTAACATAGCAGCCATTCCTGCCATTTCCTTAAACCTTCCAGAGCTTCAATAATATGTCTTTGTCATCAAACTATTTACCATCATGTCATGCCAACCTACTTCGAATTTGGGCCATTTCAACCTCTTAGGACACTTACACGCAACATAGACCCTTACCCCTTAGTTAGCTAGGTCTTCCTAATTTTTGGTCATGGTAAAATAGAACCCCATTTCCCAGCACCTGCTACAGCGCCATGATAATGCACCCTAGTGTTACAGCACATGCAAATAAACTATTTTTCCATGCATATTTTAATAGTAGTCTTGAACTTCGGTTTCTCTCAGATGTATGTGTAAAATGATTAAATAACTAAATCCTTAAAACATAGGTACGCTTGCAAATGAATTAATCGCTTTCACTGTGCCAGAGTATAATCTAGGGATGCAGATTGGGACAATATTGAGCCGCTTTCAAATGATTTCTACTAATAATAATCAATGATTTGAGAATGGCCCACCTTTAGGAATCTACTGCACATGACTAGAATTTACCTACTTCGCTTACAGAGGTTACTTTGCATGTGATTGATATGTTGAATGCAAAACGAAATCATTCTTGTACTTGAGCTCGAGATACTTGGAGAAGCATTAAATTATTCATTTCTTTGGAGAATAATTTTTGTTTTCAAAACTATTATTGTTAGAAATATATAAAATTATTAATGTAACATCACTTAAAAATAAATTTAAGTTTTTGTACGGAATTGGTTCTTTAGA